TAGCCTCCTTTATACGCACAATGCCTGGTAATTCGACGACGGAGCTATGAGTGCAGGTCGCAGAATTGAAACGAAAGCATAGCAGATCCACGGCCACTCGATTAAGACTCCCCTTGGGAGCGGCCTGCCGTATGCCTCACTCCGCCGGTGAGAGCGATAGTTCTACTTTACCCCGCAGCGCCAGCCGTGGCGCTCGTTATCGGTGAGAGATAGAGTTCCTTTCGGGGGAGCATATCGAGGAACTCTATAATCCGCTTCACGTTAGTATGTACTTGTAAGCCGCGCGAGCTAAAAGCGCGAGATAGTTGCTTCGAAGGAAGCCCCGGCGGCTGCATGAGCGCTCGTGCAGCGAGTGCTCCAGTCAAGGCAGTAAAGGCTAGCCGCTCGCGCTAGCACAGCGTTCGCGGTTAGTCCATGCTAAGGTAAGACGAAATATAGTGAGAGAGGAGCAGTACGCCCGGCCCGGTGTGGGTATTTAGATTTTTTTTTTTTTCGTGAAGCCGCAAGTCTCAATTGAAACGAGTGCCAGATTGCATGAATGATGTGACAAGTCTGTGTAGAATAAAAGCACATGAATCGTTCTGCGAAAAGCTCACTCAGCTGCATGCTGCGCGTTAAAGCTCCATTCTGCTGGCAGTATGAGGGAATTGTCGTTTTCTTGTTCTGGTAACTGTTGCCCCGTTTCTATTACCACTGTAATATAGGAGTTATAGTTGGATATAGCTAGGCCGTATGATTTCCGGTTTTAACCGACGCTCGAGCACGTGCGAGCTGTGCCTTTTATTCATCTGTGAAGGACAATATAAAATCGGATTCCGCGTGCATAACTTCAGCATTACAAACTTCATTGTTCACAAAAAAACAGACCAAGGGAGTCATATAGTTCACAAGCGGAGTACCTTTCGGGAAGGCTTCCGCGAAAGCCTCAATATATTGTCTAGTGGGCTGTTTAGGTTACCAGCCCAGTTTGCCAAAAAAGGTCTGAGGAGTTTTCTGAGAAATAGCTCGCAGAGATCTTCGCTGTGGTAGGGGTCTCGGCAGTTAACACACCACATCAGCGGGCAGTCTATAAGGTGTGGAAGCACAGCGCTCGAGAGGACCTGGCAAATCCTTCCACAACCACGAAACTCTGCCGACTGTAGAGCCCTCTCGACAAAGGTGCAGACGAGCTTGCACAGCCAGACAGCTTCAGTTTGTGGATAGCTGAGTCCGCCTTGGTCAAGGCTAAACATGGACGGATATGCTCCGTCACGTGATGCATTTTCCTTAAGTTGCGCTTGCATTCAGGACACGTCACCTGCAAAGTTTAGCGGGTTCTACACATTAGCCTTCCTTGCTTTCACTGGGAAACTCTTAGTGCTTTGCTAGGTTGAATGTTTCAGCTAATTACTTTGAAATTACGAAAATTTCTTCAAATAAAAATGGTCACCTTTTGTTCGCAAACGAAGGCCAAGTAGTTAGCCATGTAAGTCAGCGGTGCGAACTCAAGTTCGGAAAAGACTTTATTGTACTTCATCAACTGCAGGATTTCCTGTTTCGCGAGTGGAGATGGCACATTTCATCGCCGTCTGGCACTCAGAACTGAACGCGCATTTACATTTCCGGCAGCTTCCAAAATGCCAACACAAACCACACACATGAGCGCAGTGTGACATATACGATATTTTCGCCGAGCACAGCGGTGCATAGGTGGGGGGAAAGCGAGTTTTGTTGCCTTGTGCAACCGCGGCAGCGCCTCGGTATCGGCGAAGCCAATGACAGGCAGATATTTTATCTGGGTAGCGGAGCAAGAGCGCGTTGGGCGCCTTCTCTATACTCCGTTTCACCTTATGTTGTACCGCAGCGGAGGCTGGAAGCGCGAGCTCGTAGCGTTGACAGCTGCCGTTACTGCACGAGAGCTTGTGCCGTCGAGATCTGCCCCAGACCTAGGAGCTCGCGCTTACAGCCTTTCCTGCGGTACACTGGGTGAAACAGAGTATAGCTTTCAGCTCACAAGACCGCTCACTAAAGCCCCTCGATATGTTTTTGTTTGTGTTTGCAAGTAGTGCCAAATGCGCGAGCGCACGTGGCCCAGGTCTCGTGCGGCCCTTGGAAGCAAATGGCGCCGCAGCACTGAAATGAGCGGCCCTTGGAAGCGAATGGCGGCGGAGCACCCGCTCGTGGCACGTGTCTTGCGCATTTCCACAACAATGGTTGGCGGTACTTGTGAAAACACCTTTATCAAGGGGCTTTACCGCTCACCGATGTGCAGCACCCCCACGGAAAATGGGAGAAGTTCTCCTCTCACGCGCACTCTTTTGTTTCCGGAAAGACATCGGCTGGCCGCACCAACAGGTGGGATCGAGTGGCCGTGGCAGAGCGCATTTCTCGGGGAACCCGGTATTCAGCACACAGCTTTTGCAGAGGCAAGGACCCCAACAAGTTTTTCAAACTCAAAGAGAAAAGAAGCGGTAGCGCGAGGAGCGCGAGGAGCACGATCGCAGATTCTATCCTTGGATAGAATCTGCGATCCAAGCACTAGTAAAGTGCTTGGAAGCACTTTACTAGGGGGAATACATTCCACTCCTCTCAAATACAATAGCCTCGGCACGGACAGGTTTTCTGGTAGGGTGCCTGCATGTCTGTCTGTCTCAGGGTGAAGCACTGATCTCTGGGTGAAGACATCCATTGTTGACCTGAATGTGACAGCGCGTGACGCTCTCGCGCACTCGGTGCTAGACTTGGGCTGTAAAATGGCGTCTATGCATTAGCCAAAGCTACGCGCTCGAGCTGAGTGACACCGTATTTCGTGCACTTCAAAATGCATAAAAAAACGATTGGGCGGAAAAATGGCTGAGATGTCACCACTCAAGCAAAAGCGCGCGTGTGTATGAAGGCACTCTAGTTTTCTGGGCTTGGCGAGGGCCATCTATCGTCGGGGAGGTCTCGGCTATCGATGATATTGATGTTCTACATACCTTTCTTTCATTGTTGTGGCTATGAGCGAGACACGTGCCGCGCGCCACTTCTATGAATAACATGGCGTCTAAACTCTAGCTCAGTGGTGCGCTAAATACTTTGCTGTGCTGTGCCGCCATGATGTTCCCAAGGGTCGCACGTTCCACGTGCCTCGTGCATCGACGCACCTTGTGCTACTTTTGAAACATGCAGGGGCTCTAGGTGCAATCGGAGAAGACACCGCCGCGGCCGCCGCGAACATCCACGTGCACTTGGGCGTGGACTGACGCGGATCTCCATACCGTCAGGGTTGGGTTCGGCGCTGTAGGCGTTCTGTCTAATGCAAATGAGCTGAGTTGAATGTATTCCCCTAGTAAAGTATTTGTTCTATCACTCGGGACAAGTGTGTTTCGGCGTCTCGCCGCAGCGGGGCGCCCGTTACATATCTCCCCTTTCATCCGTTGTGTGCCGCTGTAGCGTTTCACTTTCGGCGGCTGCTTCTCATGGCGATCTGCCAGGCATTGTCAGTATAGAAGAGGTTATGGCAGCAGTAAAGCCTGGTTCAGACAGTTGCGTTTGACTGCGTTTGACTGCGTTGCGGCAGCGAGAAACCAGGACATCCCTGCTGCTTATGTCGCGTGCCATGGTGATTCCTTGAATTGGAGTCCACGCTTCATACGAAGCACTGATGTGCCGGTGACTCGCTTTCGGTTCTCGACGTGGAGAGCCGTGTTGCTTGTTTATACTCAGAAGGTACACTTACAAAACGAACGAGGTAGAATGTTCTAGGCTCCCAGGGAAGGCTCAAAAGAAACCGCGCCCTACGGTGTCAGTCTCACCCTAGCGCTCGAGCCTGCTGTTACGCCGCTGTCGACGCCTGTGACGCTAGCCTTTTTTTTTATTTTACTCTGGGCGCCATTCTACATAAATAAACGTTTCTTTTCCTTCAGTCATTCGTCGCCTTATTAACTGTCATTCATGACAATGCGAGACTGCTCTTGCCGAGGCGATGCGTGGTCGTCTCGATGTGATCCAAGAACATTAGGGAGTTTTAGCGAGTCGTTTTTGGAGCACACGGCTTCGAAATCATGAACGGCGCAGCTGGTCCATTCCGTGAAACCGGACGTGAATTTGAACATATTCTAGCGCACCGTACACTGCCGCAACCGTGTAAACGACGATGATGATTACGTTTGACCGGCAGCGTTATCTTCTAGTAAACATGTGAAACATTCTGCAGCGTGCAAAACCGTGGCGGCTCGTGGTTCCGGCGTACAACGGATGTAAACAAGACTGACCGACGTAACATTTGCGGCCTGAATTTCAAGACCTGAAATTTAGATAGAGAAAAAAGTTTCTGAACGACAGCAATGGCAGGTGGTGTCTCGGTCATCTTGATCTTGAATGATATCATTCACGTTGTGTGCCATCGAATCAAATAATTTCGTCGGCTCGCGGCCGCCACGGCAGCAATTCAACCCGCAGATCGCAAGCAAACAATTACTAGAATGCGTAGTTTACAGCATTCGCTATAGCTTATACCATTGTGAGACGCCGTCGAAATTAATTGATTCAACCTGTCAAACGAAGCAGAGTTACAGGATGGCAAATCGCCTCCCATTATCGTAAGCCTAAAGCTCTTGTGGTGTGGATACGACTCGCTAAAACTCCCTCTTGACGTGAGCGGACTCGTCCACACAACCACTCATGTTGTATCCTCATATTTAAACAAATTTAAAATGTTATTCAGAGCAAACTCTTGGTTTATTTATCTTGTTATTGTAGTTCGCGTGCACAGTAAAAGCTGCGTCTACAGTTTGTGTCTTGGTGGCGCTGCAAATGCTTGAGCTTTCTTTCTTCCTTTTTTTTTTTGAAAAAGAGGGCCGAGGGAAAGGGAGGGGGGGGGGGGTAGAACGCCATTTGAAATCTCTCTGACGTAGTCTGCGCCAAAGTTAGCGTAGACGTGTTTTGTTTCCGGCACGCGTTAGTGAACGTGTGCTGAACTTCAGTGCACAATTCTACAACTCCCTAAGTACATTAACGGAAAAACACTTTTGTTTCAGCTTTGCAGGTGTGGATAATTGGAAAGACACATATGACAGGGATACACGAGACTTGCCATTCTACTTACAACGAAAAAGTGAACGAGACTGGTGGCCTTACAGATATTCCAAAATATTATATCTACAATGAAACGTGCCCGTAAAAGAAAGTAATGCTGCCTTATTCCATGCATATATATGTACATATGCAATTATGTACCAGCAATGAATTGAGCACTATAAAAGAGAGAACTGTCAACGAACTCATGAGCGTAAAGGGAAGTTTTACTGTAAAAAAGCACCACTTGTAATTAAATTATACGGATTTGGGTCGAAGGTATGGTCTTTACATATAAAATAAAACGGAAGGTTGCTTTGTCCAAAAAGCGTTTCGTTTGGTTTGGCAACCCGAATAAAAACAAACCAACAAAACAGTCTTTATATCAAACAGCACCATGATGTTTTCACTGTTATTCCTTTTGATAAGGGCAACCTGAGCACCAGGTGACTATAACAACATTGTATTTCTAGTACGTCAGAACTTCGGCCCCCTCCAAGAGCCTGCCCCCACCTCTACATTTCGCTGGAACCTCGGCAACAATTTGACTGCGTTTTGGGCCAGGTTTTAGGACTCATTAGCCGAGTTCAGGGTTTGTATCCAATAAACATGCGAGAACATAAATAACCTAAATAAATTTTCGATAAGAGTTATATGTTTATTGGAGCGTCTGTTTAAGTGCGCTAACAGAGAATTAGAAAGAACAAATATAAGTTCGAAATCAACAAAATACTGTTGCAGCCAGGTCTTATCAAAACGTAAAAAATATTTTCGCAATTTTTTTTTGTATTCCCTCCTATATTCTTATTAATTAATGTAGTCATTCGTGATAGCTTAGCTTTCATGAGCAAAATGAATGAGCGTGACGATACAAAACTAAAATGCTACCTAAATATTCGATAGAGCACGCCAGAGGCGCTGTTCAGAACTTGAGGGCCAGAAACACTATTTTTGGTAACAAAAGTACCGCAATTCAAAAAGGAAAAAAAAACAAAAAAAAAAACGCCGTTACCTGTTACAACAAGAACACATGTGTTGCAACGCTTATTGTTTGCTCTGAAAGGATGATCCGGAGTGGAAACATTTTAAGTTTTAGTTTCCGGATTTATACTTTTTATTTTTATTCCTTTAAAGGCTCGTTAGTGGGGGATTTTGCAAGTAGTAAAACGAAATATCGTTTGGTATGTTACCAAAATCTTTTCATCCAAATGCGAAGTGAAAACAAGAATGTTTCAGAAATAACAGCACTGAAACGCAGTACCGCAGTGCGACTCCATGGCGTCCTTCCCGGCAGGTCATTCCGAAAAGATAGACTACATGGCCAATTCCAGCACTTGGCGTGTTTATCATGGACGTCACATCGCATGGTGTAAGAGGCTATCGCAGCTTAATTAGATCTAAGGTAGGGATATTTTACAAATCTAGGTAGCACTGCGGGTGCTGCCTTCTTTATTCCCCGATCAAAATACATGGAACGAAGATCTCAATGAAAACATGTTAAGGAAGAAATTACCTTCCGCAACGCGTTGTCAAGGAATCTGTGAGTGCGAAAGGCAGGTTGAAAAAGGGAGAAGTTTGAAACTCTCGTAGAAAATCGCTAGCCCGCAAAACCGGGAAAAGTGTGACCGCCATACAACATTTTTTTTTCACCATCTTTTTAATAAAATTATACGGAAGTCTACCTGTCCGGTCGTTGCTGAGCAATCGGACCAAAAAGTTGTTTTTGGAAAAAAAAATTAGGGCCTGGGGAGCTCCGATATGGGGTATGCAATCTGGAGCCGTGTCCGTGGCGAGCCGCAGAAAGTTCAAGGCAAAGCCGGGGATGTTAATGTTGAAAACGTTTTTTTAATTACAGACTTCACTCGTTGCCACTACTCGCCACGACACTCTCCGGCGAGCTACGGCGTCCTACCCCATGACGTGTTCCTTGACAAAAGCACTGGATGATGCCGATCACGTTCATAAGCGGGTGTGCGGAGGAGGTCACCATGGGTTGCGTGCAGTCAGGAGTCGCGATGCGGCAACCGGCCGGACTGCCAGATGCAGCAAAACGCACCGAGCACGTAGACAGAGAGGTTTAGTCACATCGCTTCCCCCTCTCCGACTGATTACAGCTTGCCACGGCTCGCTGACGTTTTCAAACTGAAAAACGGAGAGGGAGTCGAGCTTTTTTAACGGAGCGATGAAACGTTCATGGACCACGGCTCAGTGATTCACGAGCTAGCCTTTAGCCGGGCTCCCACGTGCAGACTTGTACCGTACGCATTACAAGTAATCAAATTACTTGTAATGGATTACTTTTTGGAGTAATTTTGTAATCAGTTGATTACTTTTATTAGGCAGTAATCACAAGAGTAATCTGATTACTTTTTGAAGTAATAAAATTACTTGTAACCGTTACAATTTGTCCACGGGACCCCCCCCCCCTCCCCGCCCCCCGCCCCCCCGGGCAGACGCCTTTCTTTTTTATGAAATGACAAAAATAAAATTTGCTTTTTTTTTTTTCGAACGGAAAAAAAAACAAAGATTTTTGCGGAGCTGTGGGAAACGAGGTCAATCTTTTTCTGTGTACAGTTTCTGTGGAATGTCCGTTTTTTTTTTTTTCTTTTTTTCGAGCTGGGACTGGGAGTGGGAAGCCCCAGGGAAGCCACAGTGCGTGACAAAGGCGATTCAGGGCGAAGTTTAAGGAAGCAGAATGTAGCTTTGTGAGTCCTTCGTTCAAACTAGCCCCCTCACGCACACACTCACAGAAATAAAAAAAATAAAAAAAATCCTGCCTAGGGTGCCTACTCGCAGCCCGTAGGAGAACCAGAACCGAAGAATGCCTAAACAAAGGCAGTTGAAATATTTCCCCCATTTCCCCTACGTGGTCTTTGTGACAAGCAATGTTTCGAGTTGAGAAGTGGTCGGGGCGACCTCTTCCGCTAATGGATACTGCATATGATCCGTTTCAAATCCTGGAGCTGCTGCTCTTTTGTATAACATGCGAGCTCATTCATATGTGAATAATAAAATGAGCGACGCAAACTTTGAGCGACAACCCTTGTCAAGCTTAACAAAATCTAGAACCCCTTCCGCTCCCCCCCCCCCCCCCCCCACACACACACACTGGCGAACGCCCCAATCATTAAACGTCTTCAAACGAATTCTATACTTGTGTCCGCATTGTAAAGGTGCAACGACCACGAAAAGGGAGCCAGTTTTTCTTCTTCAATACTTGTGCAAATGTGAAATATAGATTGGAAGTAGTTCATTGTTATGAGCGCTAAAGATGTGTCTTCACACAATAAAGTAATCGGAAAAGTGACGGTTACTTCTTAAAGTAATGTCCAATTACTTTTGCCGTCGAGTAATCAGTAATCTAATCGAATACTTTTTAGCCAAGAGTAATAGTAATTGTAATCAATTACTTTTATTTAGTAATGTGTACAAGACTGCCCACGTGTGATTACCCTCTATTAGGTAAGCAAACCTGAAAGCCGGCTAAAGGCTAGCGCGGTAATCCTTCGGCACTGCTTTCCCAAGCCCCCCCCCCCCCCCTCCTCTTCCTCCCCTTCTTCCCCCCCCCCCCCCCCCCCACCTCCTTGCGACGTGACTTCCATGGAAACGTGCCAAGTGCTGGAATCGGCACCTGTCGGATTACTGCACACTCTTTTCCGAATACGCTTCTCGGCTTGCCGGTTAGTATGCTAAAATTCACTGTATGGAGCGAAAGTGATTCCCAGCTGCGCTCCTTTGTATGTAAAAAGGAATATCCCAATTTTCTCACAAGGTGAAAATAATGAAGACAATGAGCAGCGTGGGCGCAGCAGATATTGAGGAAATATCGGGAAGAACATATAAGAAATTCAGAAACCGCTACGGCAAGTATTCTGTGGTCATGTTCAAGGAGAAACACAAATTTCTGAGTCGCATGGACATTTCTATCCACGTGAAGAATCCATGGAAGACAACTAACAACAGGGCGTCGTTCAGCAAGCGTTAACTTATGAGAATGCTGAAAACATCAGCAAGTTAATTTATGAAAAAAGTCGGAGTAGCATCGCGGACATTTCTGAAAAACACAAGATTGGTCATGGTTAGGGTAACCATACTCCTCAGAATTGAGAACGGGACATCAAGGGGAAGGGGAGGGGGAGGGAAAGGGGGGAGGGGGGGGGGGAGACAGAAAGAAAAAAAAGCTCTGCTACATTTCAGTTCAACGTGAATACGCGCTCTCTTAAGGGCGTTTCGTTGAGTATAGTTGAGTTCACAAGCACTTTTCTTACCTATTCTGCCAAACCTAAATATGCCAAATGTAATATTATACAAAAATGCACCGTACACACGTCTCTGCGAACAAAGCGTATTGGAAAACCAAATACCAAAAAAGCTTTTTATGCTATGTACGTTCTAATACACCGTCATGAGTAACCTTTTTTCTTTCGAAACCCCCCACCAAGCGGGTGCCCAGACATCAGCACCTAAGGCTCGCCATAATAAAGTTTATTCCTCCTCCTTCCACTCACCTGGTACTCATTTCGCAAGCAAGTTCCCACGAAAATGGGACCTTTGGCCATATTCAGATGAAATGACAGGACGATAGAAATTATCCTCAAAAACAGCACTGTTCAGTTGATGACCAGAAGTTTTATCGGCAAGGTAATGCAATGCGATGGCGAGGTAATACAACGGCCACGGAGAGTCTGCCTTCATAAAATGCCTTTAGAATATCCTCCTCTTGATGGCTATTCAGAAACAAACCCTACACTATACCTAGAAAATGGTGCTTCTTTAACCACTAAGTATATTTTTAAGCGTGGCACATTGATTGACAAATTTGTCCTGTCACTGATAACTATACAGAAGAAAGAACTTTGTGAATGTAAAGCACATTATAACCTTTTATTGCTGTAATCCCAGCCATACTAGAACAAAAACAACTTCATTTGTTTAGTCAGGTACAATTTTTTTTTGCTTTTTACTTTTGCGTTTTGATTTGATTGCAATAGGAGAAATTACTTTCTAGTTTTCGGGCCTTTTTTGCGTTCTGATTTTATTGCAGCAAGACGTTACGTAGCTGACGAACCAAGTGGAAGGTAGCACCAATTTGCTCAAAATAGCACT